GAACTTGCTATTGAAAGTTGTTAGATTACTTATGATATTGTGTGATCAACGAAATGTTGGGGGAAAAGGAATTAAAGACAACTGTAGACAGCAGAGATAGTGTAATAAGAGAGTGGGAAAGAGCAGAGGGTCAGACATGGGATAAAAAAACATATATATATGAAAGTAGAAATGGAATATTACGGATGGTAACATGCATGATTAAGCCACTATGCAGTTTATTCTATGTGGGAAACCACAGTTAGTATGTTGTGATGATGCTCAGGGAATGAATGTAAATTAATAAAAAAAAAATTTCAGAAGAAAAAAAAAGCATTAAAAATACCTGTTTGATGACTGCAGTAAGCTATATAGCCCTAGCTAGGTGTTACTTTATAGTATGTTCATTTTATTCACTGAGGTTTATGCCTAAAGTCAGACTTCTGTTCATGGATACGTATATTTCAGCTGTGCTTGGTATTGAAAATATTTAGATTTATTAAGATATTTAGTGAAACAATAAAATGGGGGAGACATAGAAAGCAACAATAGATACCAGACACAGTGTGGGAGGAGGGTGGGAGATGGCAGAGGGTGAGATAGGGAATCAAAGACGGGAAAAAAGGCAAAATATACAGAAAACAATAAATGGAAAATGATTTGTTGACAATAACACATATGTTGATGTGCTTGATTGAGCCAATACACAGTGTATTCTCAATGGAAAAATCAAATCTCATTTTATATGCTATAATGATGTACAGTGAATGAATGTAAATTTAAAAAAGGAAAAGAAGAAAAAAAAAGAATATCAGGTTAATGAGTAAAAACTAATATTAATATCCACAAGTGAATGGACCTATTAATATGTGCAAGACATAATTTCTTTTATAGAGGTTTTTTGCTATAGGGCGCGTGCGCTCGCCAGACAGACAGAGAGAGGCAGAGAGACAGAAAGCGAGAAATCACCCCCCAGGGGGGATGGCCACGCCGCAATCCCTTCTCCTCCATTCTCTTCTCGGGATCCTGGGCACGCACGCACACATGCCTGGCGTGAGTTTTAAGCCACCGGGTCTGGGACACGAACCGCGGTCGACTATGTGGGAGTCCAGTGACATAGCCATTACACTAACTGCTGGCTCCAAGACATAATTTTTTTTTTTAAGAATTAGTTTTATTTCATTTTACTTCTTACTATTTTTTTTAAAATTCAACCAGAAAGAGAGAGAGAAAGGGAAAGTAAGAAAGCAAGCTACCAGGTCCGGGACTCAAACCTCAGTCAGCCATGTGGGAATCCAGCACCTTAATTACCACACCACCTGCTGGCCCCAAGACATGTTTTAAATTTAGCACCAAAGTATCATTCACCTTGTTGTCATCCATGACAGTATTTAGTGATTCAATCCACATGGGGTCAATATCTCCATCCAGCACTATCCATTTCGGTCCATCATGCATAAGATTTGCTTGTTCCCGCAGAATGGATGAGAAGAGACCTACAAGTAAACAATCCTAGTGTATAATGGAATTGAATGCTGTTCATTCTAAAATAATTTTTTCTCCTGGAAGCTCTTCTATGAACCAAATAAGAGCAGTTTTTGCCTTTTTTTCTTAGTAACTAATTTCGCCTACTCCCTAAGAAGGATCCATTGCTTCTCTGACTGAGCTTCCCTATACATTAAACAGAGATAATAGTACCTTTCTTGAAGAGTTGTGGGGATTTATGGAGGTAAGGTACATACAATTTAAGTGAAAACATTATCCTTTTTCATGCACATATGTTCAGTATCTATTTTGACCAAATATGAATTTCTTATTTCTTTATTTTTCTATAATATGCAAAGGACATTATTCTAAAGCTAAAGCACTCAGAAGTACTAGACATCTTCAGAAATTTGGTCATTGGCATAATCATTGCTTAACAAGATGTCCATGTTTAAAAAAAAAATAACATGGGACCAGCATATGGCATAATAGTTACGTCACTGGACTCCCATGTAGTAGATAGTGATCTGAGTCCCAGACCAGCAACTTAAAACTCATGCAATGTGTGTGTGTGTGTGTGTGTCCAAGATCCCCTTTTTTTTTTTTGACAGGTTTTTGCTATAGGGCGCATGTGCTCACCAGACAGACAGAGAGAGACATAGACAGAAAGCGAGAAATCACCCCCCAGGGGGGATGGTCATGCCACAATCCCTTCTCCTCCATTCTCCTCTCGGGATCTTGGGCACACACACACACACGCACCCAGGGTGAGTTTTAAGCCACCGGGTCCGGGACACGAACCGCAGTCGACTATGTGGGAGTCCAGCGACATAGCTATTACACTAACTGCTGGTTTCCTGTGTGTCCAAGATCCTGAGAGGAGAATGGAGGAGCAGGGATATTGGTGGAGTGATTTCTCACTTTCTGAAAAGCACACATGTACTATAGCGAAAATCTCTCTCAAAAAAATTTTTTTTTAATTTAGTCTTTTATGCCATTCCTAAGTACTGTATTGTTTGTGTTACATTGTGTGTTTAATCATGGCTGCTTTTTCAAGCTTAAGTATATAATACCATGTTGAATGAAACTGTTTCAGTGCCTGTATGTGGAGTTTTCCCCTGTGAAGTATTGGGTGCCAAGTATAAGTGACAATATCTAGTAGAACCTGCCACCATGATTTATAAAGAGTCCAGCAACTTTTTCTCATGGTCACTGATTAGAACAGTTTTTCAGTATAAACAGATTTTCAGTATAAACAGGTATGGTGCTCTCTCTGCCACAGTGTTTTATAAAAAGACAGAAGCTAGGCTAGGAGAGTAAAAACTGCTGTGCAGATAAAATAACGCACGTGTGTACGATAAGAAGATGGAGAATGATAAAGTATATCCTCCTTTCAAGTTCTTCAAGGGAGGTCTTCTCTGATAGGACATTTGATCAGGCACTTAAATGACGTAAGGAAGCAAGCCATGTAGACAGTCAAAGAAAAGGCATGAGATAGCTGGGAAATCTAGTCCTAAGTGCCACGACACTGTGATGGGAGATACTCGGCAAGTTCAAGGGTCAGTGAGGTGGAATGCGGGGAGTGGAGCCTCAGAGGCCATGGGAAAAGGCTGGATTCTAAGAGTGGTGGGAATCTACTAGAAACTGAAAGCAAAGAAGAAACATTTTATAACAAGCTCTCTGCTGTATGAAAAATGAACGGGGTACCAGCAGTTAGCATAATGGCTATGTCACTGAACTCCCATGTAGTTGACTATGGTTCGAGTTCCAGACCTGGTGGCTTCAACTCACACCAGGCGCGTGTGCGTGCATGCCCAAGATCCCAAGAGAAGAATGGAGGAGAAGGGATTGTAGCATGGCCATCCCCCCTGGGGGTGATTTCTCACTTTCTATCTCTCTGTCTCTGTCTTTCTGGCGAGCGCACGTGCCCTATAGCAAAAACCTCTCCATAAATAAATAAATAAATAAATAAATAAAAACAAATGGCAGAGGGAGGAGCGTAGTTTTGAAAGAGGTGACGGTGGCGTGGACTAATGTGATATCTATAGCGAAGGTGAAAACTACTAGAATTCAGTGTATGTTTTAAAGATAAAGCCTACAGAACTTGCTGTGAGGTTTGATTTAGGATATGAGAAGAACAAAGACCTCAAGAATGATGGCAGGATTAGTGCTTTTGCTGAAGTGGGATGCTGAATAGATTTGAATAAAGGGATCCGCTTGCCTGCAAATACTTCTGGGAGAGGAACTGCACCCCACTGACTTTTGTCTTTGGCACCTGGAACTGTGTCTACTCAACCTCAGTCGGTATCTTCTATCAGCCACTTTATAACTATTTCCTGAGACATCCATGTTGACTTTTCTCCTGCTTTACAAGGAACCCTGACATAATTGATGTAGGATAAAATACACAGCTTGAAGTACAAATTTGCTAAATGCAAATCAAGTACTTATTCAAATCTAGTTTTAATTTATATGCTATAAACGCTGTTGTGATCTGCTCTATTTCCAATAACACCAACACATAAACAGTAAATCTGTGACTATGACTAAAATTGGCTGGTTCTAAAAAATGGCTTTCTAGATAGGAAAAAGACATTTTTTAGCACTTCCAAAGGGAACTACTACTTGCCATCTTTCCATTCTCGGGTAGCATGATGTATGAAACCAAAGAGTTCATCTGTTGTTACAGCTTTAGGGTTTAAGTCATTCCAAACGGGTTTCTGTTTCATGTTAACATATGTTTGGTTCAGTGTTCGCAAAATCTGGAAGGAAGAAGAAAAGAGCTTAAAAAATTAATATTAATAGAAGGCAAATGGAAAATAAAACATGTCCCATGATTTTCTTATGCATCTGTTACTAGCTATTCTGCGTGCACTAAGACCAAGAACAGGGAAAATGTATATATGTGTACTTCTATTATCATCTTGTACAAATCCGCAAACCCTTAGGAGACAGAATCAGCTCAACTGTTTCTTGGAACCATTTAGACTAAATGAAGTCACTTTATTATTTGAGATGTTTAACCATGTGTACAAAGTGAAGGACTACTTGTAAACCAGCCTTCGTGTTCCTGTTTATAAAATCTACCCCACCTGAATTATTAAGGTCAGTTGTTCTTGAAATTCAGACCACACCAGAAATGCCTGGAAGGTGTTAAAGCATAGATTACCGAGCCCAATCCCAGAGTTTCTAACTCAGTATGTCTGGAGTGGCACCTGGGTAGGACCAATAACCTGCACTGGTGGCTAGTGCCGAGGTGATTCCAGTGATCCTGGTCAGGTGTGTTTTAAGGCTAGTGACACCGAATGATGGTTCTCTGCAGGAGACTGTCTTGAGGAGGGGGATGAGATGCTATGCTACTGGCATCTAGTGGGTGTAGGCCAGAGAAGCTGCTAAATATCCTCTGCTGCTCAGGACAGCCATCTACCACAGAGTTACCCAGTCACTAGTGTTGAGGCAAGAAACTCTGGTGTAGATAATTGAGGAAAAGCAGTCTTGGGGATAAGAACACACAGAACAGGTGCTCAGCCTGCGTCTACTTAATTACCTGACACCTTAACCCAGAAACCTGCCATGACTACGCCCTTTTACTTCCTTTGAAAAGCCATGGCTGTTCTTTTAGATATTTATCATCCTGGCCTACTCACAGGGCTTTTGAAGGTCTGATAAACAATTGCCAAGTTCTTTTGAAATGATTTGTTGCTAAATAACATGGCCCTGGGTTTCAGTGCTCTAGTTAGACCAGCTTAAGTACATGTTGAATAGAACAGGATAGGTGAAGACTAGATGAAAGAAATTCAGCGCCTTAGGAATATTAAGCTTATATTTTTAGAAACCATTAATCTACTGGAAATTATAGAATTTAATTTTATCCTTCCTTGAACCATGGCCTACATTTGAAACTTTAACAAAATAATTATGGGCCTATCAGTTATCTACTTTAATATTTCAATTATTATATTTTTCACTAGAAAAATCTCTACACAGGGCCTCCCTTTACAATTGTTCCACTTTGGGTTCTCATCTAAATATTGGCAAGTTCTATATCCATCCATGCTCTAAAACCTCATATGCCCATTCTGGTTATTTTTAGTCATTGGCTACCAGATATGTTTATATCCAAGCATCCTGAATTAAAATGCATGAGGTTCTGCATATACCGTCTGCCAACCAAGAAAATAAGTATGCTGCCAGGACTGTCAGTAAGACCAAACAAAATCAAGCAGTGAACTAAAAATGGGGATAATAACACCCATCGCATATCCTCCTTGTGCAGAGCAAATCATACAGAATGCACCTAGCACAGCACATAATAGGTACCTCAAAAATGTGGGGTTTGCTGTCTCCTTTTCTATTCGAGTTTTGTTTTGGTCCTTGGAGGGCTATATTTCTAAGGGAGTGCTGAAGGAAAATATTTGGGTTTCTCTCAGTGATATAGGGAGGAGAATCTCAGAGTACTTGGAAAAGACAAGAAAGTAATTTTGATTAATGTGGGCAGAAGCTATCAAATCCTGTAAGCCAGATATCTTATTCTATAGATTCTTGATGTGTATTCCTTTGATAAAACAATGCGGGTATAAAGGTGTTATTGAAAGGTACATAGAGTAGGAAGGCATGCACTAAATGCATGAGGGAGGCTACATCTCTCCTGTGGAACGAGCAATCTTCATCTTGGCGTATGTTTCCTATGCAAATGCAATGTTCCACTTGTCCTCCTGTCCTGCTCCAATATAAAGGAAAACAGTATCAACTGATTACAAAGCAATTAGTCTCAGACTGCAACACAAAAGGATGATGGCTTTTGCCTACAGCAACTCTTGAGTGGCACTGGAAATAGGTAAACAAACAAAAACAAAACAAAAACCAAAACTGTTCCATGACTGCAAACACTCAGGCAATTACTGTACCTGGCTCTTTCCTGTGCCCGCATTTCCAACCACAAAGACAGAATGCCGCACAGCCAACAGCTCCTCAAGCTGGACAACCTGCAGATCGAACAGCCGGTCACTGGTTTCTTTCAACAAATTGGTGACAGAAGGAAAAAGAAAAAGAAAAAGAAGAAGAAAAAGAAAAAAAAAAAAAAACCTAGCCATTTTTGCCCACTTCTTTTTTTCTTACAGTTCAAGTCAGCACCCACTGACAACATTATGTTCTGGAAAAGTTAAAATAAACCCCCAAATGCAAAGTATAGCTTCTCCTCAATCTCCCACATAGAACACAGAAGTGAGTATAAGTAAAACCATCACTTTATGTAGTTTTTGGTAGATAGCAGAGGCTACTTTTGAAATCAATGATCTCCTAGGTCGTTGGGAACATTATGATGTGCTTTTCTGTTTTTCTATGCAAAAATGTGTCATGTCTTTCCTGACGACCCAATACATGAGGCTTTGCATAAAAACAGTATATGGGCAATTATCATCTATAACTGAGTAGCGATTTACATCCTACAAAACACCTAAAATGGATATGATGCATGTGTGTTAATGTCCGTGCTTTCATGGACCCAAAGTTGAACCTGAATACGCACAAGCCTTTGATAAATCATATCAAATCTTCCCGAGTTAAATTCATACAGGCTGGTATTTCTCCTTCAGTAAAAGCATGCACTAATATTTATACTTACAATGTTCTTGAATAAGGAGAAAAGATAGAACAAAAGAAATTTTGGGTGCATGTCACCAAGAAGAATAAAAAAGTTCTATGAACTAATTAAAAATATGGTTGGGTGGGCAGTGGTGTGGTGGTTAAGGGCACTGAACTCCCCACATGGCCAACTACAGTTCTAGTTCTGGACTTAGTAATTTAAAAATCACACTGGGGATGGGGGTGGGGGCGGCAGATGGCGTGGTGGTTAAGGGCTCTGGACTCTCACATGGCTAACCATGGTTCAAGTCCTGGACCTGGTGGCTTGCTTTTTTACTTTCCCTCTCTCTCTCTTTCTCACACTCTGTCCCTCTCTGGTCAAATAAATAAATAAGATTAAATAAAATAATTCTTTAAAAATAAAATAAAATCACACTGGGTATGTCTATGTACATGCCCAAATGGAGGACAAGAGATTGTGGCATAGCCATCCCCGTGAAGGGTGTTTTTTCGTTTTCCTTCTGTCTGTCTCTAGCACGTGCATGTGCCCTATGGGAAAAACAAAAACAAAACCAAAAAGCATGCTTATATTTAAAACCATGGTATAATCATATCTAGGTGTTCCCCTTCTTACAGAGTAGGACTACTAAAATAATTCATCATATTTACTTAAGAATGCCATATTAAAGTAAACATTAAGATCGATGTGATTTAAGTCAGTATCTGAGTTCAGAATCACTTAACCACGGTTATTTCCACTGCAAATCCCAGGGCTGCAATGAAATGTAAAAGATCTTTTTACTTTGAGGATGAAGCTATCTTCAGGCTGCAGGCGGAGCTCCAGGGTAGACTGCCTGACCATCTGTTCAAAGTGTAGTTTCCTTCTCCGGGGCACATCCAAGGCTGGAAACAGGTCACTGATCAGGCCCAGAAACACTGGGATGTCGTCAGTCACTATTTTAGGCATATTGAAGTCCCTCAGTGCTCTCATGAGTACCTAGAAAGAAGCAAAAACACTTTATTAAAAAAGCCAATACAAGATCTAATACCTAAGAACTAAAGATATGATTCATAATTCTTATAGCTAAATTATGAGATATTAGTGCTACTCTCTATCAGATTGGCATTCTATCAACAGGGGGGTTAAATGCTTGAAGTTAACATTTCATCACTGGAGAAGGTTCAACAGATACAACAGACAAGCCTCGGAATAAGATTAGTGAGAGGGACCAGCTGTTAGCATTAATGGCTATGTCGCTGGACTCCCATGTAGTCGAGCGCGGTTCGCATCCCGGACCCGGTAGCTTAAAACTCACGCAGGCATGCCCAAGATCCTGAGAGGAGAATGGAGGAGAAGGGATTGCGGTGTGTCCATCTCCCCTGGGGTGATTTCTCACTTTCTGTCTCTCTGTCTCTCTCTATCTGGCGAGCGCACGCGCCCTATAACAAAACAAAACAAAACAAAACAAAAAAAACTCTCCAAAAAAAAAAAAAAGAATAAGATCAGTGAGAAGCCTTGCCCCTTCTCCTCCAATGAGCTGTCTTGATCTTCAGAGTCTGAGGCCCTTCTCTCCTTAATCCTCAAACTCCAGAATGTAAATTAATTAAGACCATCAGATCATTTTGTTCAAAGTACTCTGAGAATCTCAGATTGATCACCTTAAAATTTTTAGTTTGGGTTTGTGTTCTCTTTTGGCTGAAAATTAAAGAGGACTCTCGATTTGAAAAATAGTTAAACAGGATAACTTTTACTAAAAGAACTAAGCATTTGAACAACAATAAAAATATAGCAGGGGAACAAATACATGAAAGAAAATCTTGACCTAATTATGAATTGTGACTAAAAGGAGGAGAGAGAAATATTGGAAAAGTGGAGTCACATAATAAATATTCCTTGACATATTGGATTGTTGGAGAAGTCATGATGAATTTTTGCATAGAAAAAATAATAGCCAGCTGGGTGTACTTTGCAGTATGCTCACTTTACTCACTGAGGTTTAAGCCTAAAGTCAGACATGTGTTCATGGATATGTACATATCAGCTGTGCTTGCTGTTAAAAGTATTTAGATTAATTAAGATCTTTAGTGACTCAATAAAATGAGGGGGAAAAGGGGGGAGGGGGAGCGTGGAAAGCAACTGTAGATACCAGAGATAGTGTATCTAAGGGTAGGAAATGGCAGAGGTGAGAGATCAAGGGAGAAGAAACAAGAAGTGGAAAATGATTTGTTGACAATAACATGCAAGGTAATATCCTTGATTGAGCCCATATACAGTGTATCCTGGATGGAAAATCTCATTTTGTATACTATAACAATGTACAGTGGATGAATGTAAATAAATAAATTTAAAATAAAATATAAGTAAATAAAAACAAAAAATATGTTATGACTTTCTAGACAATCCAATAAATAGAAACTCACAGAACAGAGTTTATTTTCTACCTCTCAAGCTATACTGCATGGTCAGACAGTGGCTTCTATCCGTTGTTCTGCCTATTTAATAGAGTAAAATGCATCATTTGCTATTGCTGGTTGTCCCCGGAGGAGAAGTAGGTCGTTTCCCACTTCATTTCCCAATAACCACCTGCGTATTTCACTAGCGTTGGGCAGCCATCCTTCCGTTTCATTCTTCATGTCCATCCTATACCCCATGAAATGGATGCACTTACTCCAACTTTTCAGAATTAATATCCCAACTCAATTAAGCAGATTTCCTAAGTGTCTCTCAGAGAAACATTTACCAGTGGTTAGCCAATTATTTGATTATAACCGTCAAAATACTTTTTTGTTGCTGATACTTCAAAAGCACTTATGAAATCACATTTCTTTCCCAGATTTGTCTTTGTACTCAAGAACACCCATGACCTGCTGTAAGAAATTCCAGTCCTCAAAATATCCCATATTCAAAATAGATGTTTTGTTTTTTAAAAGTTCTGCTATACATGCTCCATCACCTATGTGTACAAGGGGGTCTTCATAAAATTTATGGAAAATGGCATGTTATTAAAAAAAACCAACTGTGCATGGATTTCAACTTTTTTTTTTTGCACCATAGTACATTTTTATGATAACTCCACTTTTTCATGAACTTTTTGAAGTCTCCTTGGGTACTGTCATTTGTATGAAGCTGTTCAGCTAATCACTCAGCAAAATCATCCATGCATTGCAGTACCTGATCTTCAGGTCTATTTTTATCTCCTCGTTTCAGAGAGCCGGCTACAACCAAGACAGATTTAATAGCACGAAGTCCCCAATCATAATGATCCTAAAATAAAAACATATGTATATTTTTTCAGGAATTTTATAAGGGAATAAGAGTCTCATTAAAGAAGCAAAAGCTGAAAGTTAAAAGAAAACAGTTTAGGTAAATACACACTTTAATGATTCAAAGTAGTATTTTCTCCTTTTCTTTGAAATTGTGAAAAATCATGCCCTTGGAGTGTCCTCCTGCTTCTTTCTCCTATTTTGCTGCTCTGTCAGCAAATCTCTCCTTTCTGGAGCACTTAATTGCATCACTTATCCAAGGCACCATCTACCTTCGCAGCTCTCTATAACCTGCTAACGTGGGAGCCTGACTACTGCCATGTTCCTTCTCCAAACACATTTACCCTTCTCCAGTTGTACACTGAGGGTCTGAGGATTCAAGCCTTTCTCCGACTTCCATCTCCAGTTCCCCTAAATATTCTACCTCTATCATGAAGATATCTTTGCCCTGATGCTGGCACTTAATAAAGAGTGTATTCTTTTTTCTTTTTCTGGAGGGTTTACGCTATAGGGCGCGTGTGTTTGCCAGAAAGATAGAGAGAGGCAGAAAGACAGAAAGCGAGAAATCACCCCCCGGGGGGATGGCCATGCCACAATCCCTTCTCCTCCATTCTCCTCTTGGATTCCTGGGCACACACACCCACACACTCGGCATGAGCTTAAGTCACCAGGTCCGGGACTTGAACCAAAGTCAACTACATGAGCATCCAGAGTTGTAATCATTGTGCCATCTGCTGGTCCCAAGAGTATATTCTAAAATTCAATTATAAACCAATATTTCTCTCAGACCTCTGCATCATCCCTGAAGAAGACTTCTCCCACAGGCTCTGAGTTCTTGTAGGCTCGGTCCAAAGGACAGAGACCATGTCTTACTCACTTTTGCTTCTAGCCCAGTACAGGGGACAGGGGAAGTGTTTGGTAGAGGTCTATTAAATAAACTGATTGATCATACACAACTGCCCTTCTCGTTTTCCATCTTGAATTCTCATGGGAACGAGCCTTCCCTCATGTCTCTCAGTTGTGCCTGTGGGGAAGCCTCAGGATCATCATCTATAAAGAGACAGGCAAAAGTATCTGCCTACTTTATAAGTGGTTGTGGGAGTGAAATGAGTTATCGTGAGTACAAATGCTTTTTGTGGGCAGTGAAACAATATATGCATATATAAATATGCCACTGAATCCACGAGTGGATAATAGAATCAATTTAGTGGGTCTTGACCGTCATTTTTGTCAGTAATAAAATAGAGCAGAATGGAAGGAAAAACATGAGTGAGATATAAATAAGGGTAGGAGGTGGCTGGTGAGACGTTCTGGTTCGGTTGTGCATAAGAGAAGATGTGTGTGTGTGCATGTTTACCGGGTCTCAACGGAAAAATGATTTTTTATTGTGAGTCATGATAAAAACCATTTGAAAATCACTGATGCAGAAATAGACTGAGGCTACATCTCTAGAGGAATAAGGTTAAAGGAGAATATGTAGAAGAAATTCTGGACACGGATTTAAGAGGACTCAGTGACCATGCTAAATATATAAGCATTGCAAACAACTTCTAAAATAAAAATAATAATAATTAAAAAAAACAAAACATGTTGGCGTGTGTGTATGTGTGCCCCAAATCCCAAGAGAATGGAGAAGGGATTGCAGCATAGCCAATTCCCGTGGATAGGGAGGAATTTCTCACTTTCTCTCTCACTGTTTTTCTCTCTCTGGTGAGTGCATGTACCTATGATAAAAGCCTTAAAAAATAATAATAATCTTCATTATTATCATATTATTCCTTTGATCAAAATGTGTCCACTGATTCCTCTCTTGGATACATCCCTGAAGCTCAGCAAGGCACTGGTGAACTGTGTTCCTAACTCAGCTCTGCTGTCCTGGCCAGATTTCATTTCTCTCATTTATGACATATCTATGAGTTAGAGACTCTTCCCTCCTCTGTTCTACCTTTTCTCCCAATGTCTTCAAATGTCATTGAATCATACCTAGTGCTATTAGCTATGAACTTTGGACAAGTTAACTCCTGAGCTCATCTAAGACAGAAATCTGGGTATCTGTTCATTTGTTTGATATCCTTCCTATTTGATATCACCAGTAATAACCACATTACTTGAACATAGTAGATGTTCACTAAATGTTTACATATTACTACAGGGAACAATATAGATGCAACTCCATGTTTCTTGGGTTCAGATATATCTTTTTTTTTCTTTCTTTCTTTCTTTTTTTTTTTTTTTTTGAGAAGTTTTTGCTATAGGGCGCATGCACTCGCCAGAAAGATAGAGAGAGACAGAGAGACAGAAAGCAAGAAATCACCCCCCCGGGGGGATGGCCACGCCGCAATCCCTTCTCCTCCATTCTCCTCTTGGGATCTTGGGCATACATGCACACATGCCTGGCATGAGTTTAAGCCACCAGGTGTATATACACACACACACACACACACGTGTGTGTGTGTGTGTGTGTGTGTGCGCACGTGTGTGTGTGTGTATATATATATATATATATATAAATTTGTTTCTCAGATTCCAGATCTCACCTTAACTATATAAAATGAATACATCTGGCAGTACAGGTAACTGTGTGGTTGCAACTGTAGTATTTTAATACTCTCATTCTGGAACAGCTACAGAATAAGGCCACCAAGGCCCTCATTAATGCAAGGTCATCAAAAGACCAAAAAGTCAAAAGTGATCACAGAACAGTGTAAAAATACCGATGCTGATACATACATAATTTTTATGGCATGCCAACAACTTGAATGACTCTATAAGAAGCTCATTTTGGAGAGTAGAAATGTGTAATTTTGACCCACTTCAGAGATGAGGGAATTGTAGAGCAAAATTTAAAAGAAAAATAAAAAAAACCTAACCCCACCTTCAAATAAAGTATTATCAAATGAGAAAAAATTTCATTTAGCATTTCTTGAGAAGATTTTTCAAAAATCAGCCTTCCTTCACTCTTGTGAACATGCCTGCCTTCTTGTCCTAGAAAATAGTATTCTCACTGAGAGGCAATATAAAAATCTATTTGCAATTATAGCACTGATAAAGTTTAAAGAAAATCTTACATTTCATTGTGCTAAGTACAAATAAAACTAAAACTAAAACATCTCAAATGTAATTTCAGCAAAAAAATTAAGAATTATAGAAAAGAGTTTTCAAAATTTTACTGGAAATACATCATTCCTAATGACTAAAGTGAAATTTAAATAATAAATTACCTGACCTTTTAATTTTTTTTTTTTTGTCAGAGGGCATATGTGCATGCATGAGAGAGAGAGAGAGAACCCTCCAATGGGGTCTGGCCCCATGGGATCTGGCTTTCTTTGGGTAGGGCTTAACCACCATACCTAGCACCTGTATTTTAAAAGCTGTTTTAACGGGATGTGAAAACTAAGAAAACATAACAGAAGCTCACTCACCTGCTTGGAGAGGAGTTCTTTGCAGAGCGTGTACAATGTAATGAATTTCCGGGCCAGAGAGCGTGCATCCACAAATCCTTCAGCAACTAACATGATTTCACATATTAGCTCAATGTCAGGGGCCACCATGGCACAGGGTCTAAAACGTAAATAAGAAAGGTAGTTTAAAAATGTGATAAGGTAATAAGGACAAATGGCTGGAATCAAGTGACTAATTTGTACCAACATTCTGACCATTCCTAAGCCAGTCACAATTATTCTGTCAATCACAGCAAAAAGACCCTTCACTTCAAAATGTCCACTACTCACTGGACACACAGGAAAATATGGAAAGTCTGCAATGGCAGATACCGCTATAGGAGTTTAAAGAAAATCACAGATAAAGCCTGTAAACTTTTAGTTTGTCACCCCAGAAAGATGAACGGTGATGGTTACACTATAAAGGCCAGCCTTCACCTGTGGCTAGTGGTACGCTGGTCAATGTTTAACCACCAGTGTCCAGAAAACTGTGTTTCCTTGTTTCCATGGAATAAATTATTCTACCAAGAGTTTGTTGGTAGCGTGAATGCATCTAGCAATACAGGTAAATGGGTGGTTTCAAGCTACCAACGCATCACTAAACACAGAGCTGGAAGAGATGTGTGGTACCACAGTACCACACGGGCAGACACAAAAAACCTTGAAAGCATAAATACTAACTACATAAATAATTACGGAGTAATGACTATTTTGAGATTTTTGGGTTTTTTTTTACAAGGTTTTGCCATAGGGTGCATGCACTCTCCAGGGAAAGAAAGAGAGAGAGAGAGAGGGAAAGTGAGAAATCACCCCCCAGGGTGGATGGGCACACAGCAATCTCTTCTCCATTCTCCTCCTTGGGTACGCATGCACACATACCCAGTGTGAGTTCCAAGCCATCAGGTTTGGGACTCGAACCATGGTCAGCCATGTGGGAGTCCAGTGACGTAACCACTATGCCACGCACTGGCCTTATTTTGAGAATATTAAAAATACTTTTTTCTTTATTCATGATAGTGTGTGTGTGCACATGCACACAACAGTGAGAGTGAGAGAAAGGAGGAGATGAGCATCTCCACAAGGTCTGGCCATACTGTGATCCCCTTCCTCCCGTTCTCTAGTCCATGGGATCTTGGGCACTTGTATAAAAAGCCTTCCCCTAAAGACAATGGCCATCAACAGCAATGTTTGAATAAACTTTGCTCTACTGAAGTCAACTGGATAGGAGAAAGAGTAAAGTAATGAGCTCATTATTTTAACTTCTTCAAGTGTACATTCCAGAAACATCTACCCACTTGCTTCTGTAAATATAATTGTAGTCTACCTCATGCACATCTAGTTTTTACCCTAAATATTTCCCTAAGTTTCTCTGAATCTAGGTAACTGAATATCTCTCCTCTTTAAACTTACCCCACATTTTTTTCCTCACATTTATTGCTTTTAATCATATGGCAGAAGAAATAAAGACGAAGGGTAAATAGGGGAAATAAAAGGCTAGCAGAGCCTTTTGTACCTATATTAATATAGAAAACTTCATACCTAATTTCATACCTATATTTATAAAGGAAACTTATAAACCATGCACTGACTTTATGCCATGTAGGGCACTAAAAGCTTTTCATGCACTCTCACTTCATTCTCGCAGCCCTACAAGGTGGCTCCCTTTGCCTTTCACTTTGTAGAGGTACAGACTGATGTCCCCAAAGTTCGAGCCATTGCCCTGGGCCACATGGTTTGTAAGTGGCAGAATCAGGATACTCTTAAGGTACAAGCATACTACCCCCGTTCATAATTAACACTTTTATCATTCAAATTTTCCTTCAAACTTTACTGACACAAATAATCACATCCTAATGCATACGACATGGTACCTAATTGACCAAAATGTATACAAACTTCACAAGACAATTCCAAATTTTAAGACCCAAATTTAAAAATGTATGAGGTAAATGAAGTCTCAAGTGTAAACATTATGGAAAGGTAGACAATTTCAAACAAAACTATCCTGTAACCAGTACATTTATTTCTACAACAGTTATTCTTTATGTAGAATTTTTTTCAAGAAAAGTAGACATTATAGGGACCAGCAGATGGCATAGTGGCTGACCATAGTTCAAGTCCCAGACCCTGGTGGCTTCAAACCCACACTGGGCGTAAGTGCGTGCATGCCCAAGATCCCAGGAAAGAAACAGAGGAGAAGGGATTGAGGCATGGCCATCCCCTCTCAGGTTGATTTCTTGCTTTCTGTCTCTCCAGTGAGAGCACATGCCCTATTGCAAAAATTTCTCTAAAAAAAAAGGAAAGAAAAAGAAAAGTAAACATTATAAAATTACTACCCCAGAAATAATGTTATTATAAGGAAAGGGAAATATTCAATACAGGATGTTAGAATAATGAAGTATTAGGGAAAGGAATTATTGACATACTCATTTCATGTAACCAATCAAAGTAAGTTAAAAAATAACACTATAAAAATTAGGAGAAAGTACAAATGAAACATAGTTAAATAGCTAGTAGACAGACAAGCTGGAGGGTTAGGGGAAGAGAATGATGGCAAGACAAGCCCATGCTGAGGGAATATTTCTGTGTCTTCCTCTTTCATGAATAAATAACAAAATATTTTAAAAAGGATTGACAAAGGATGTAGAGTACCTAGAGTCTTTCTACACTGATGGGAAGGTGTACAATCAGTGTAGAAGGTGTACTTTGGAAATCAGACTGGAACATTTTTATAAGTGAAATATACATTTGCTATGTGAGCAACAATTCCCTTCTTATTTACCCAAAAGAAGTGAAAAAGTGCTCATGCAAAGATCATACATGAATGTTCACAGCAGTTTTATTCTTTTTTTAAAGAATTAATTTTATTTATTATTATTATTATTATTATTATTATTATTATTATTATGGAGAGGTTTATTATTATTATTATTATTATTATTATTATAAATTGTTACAGGGCACATGTGCTCACCAGAGAAAGAGAGAGAGAGAAAGTGAGAAAGTGAGGAAGCAAGCCAGCAGGTCTAGGACTTGAATCATGGTCAGGCACATGGGAGTTCAGCACCTTAAATACCACACCATCAGCTGGCCCCACAGCATTATTATTATTATTTTTTTTTCAGTGGGGGGTGTTTTTGCTATAGGGTGTGTGCACTTGCCAGAAAGACAGAGACAGACAGAGAGACAGAAAGTGAGAATTCACTCCCCAGAGGGGATGGCCATGTCACAATCCCTTTTCCTTGATTCTCCTCTCAGGATCTTGGTCATGCATGCACACACGCCTGGTGTGAGTTTAAGCCACTGGGTCCAGGACTTGAACGGCAATCGATTACATGGATTCCAGTGACATAGCCATTACACCAACTGCTGGTCCCCCCACAGCATTATTCTTGATCATCTCAAATTGGGAACAACCCAAACGTCCTCCATTAACAGGTGAATGAATAGACAAATTGCAGTATGTCTATACAATAGACTACTTTTTTGTTTAAGTTTTCTATAGGGCATGTATACTCATGAGAAAAAGAGAAAGTGAAAATCACCCTCCTCAGGGGGTGGTCATCCCACAATCCCTTCACCTTCATTCTCCTCAGGACTTTTGACCCAAACACACACCAGCATGATATTCAAGACGCCAATTCCAGAATTTGGACTACGAAGTCACCACGTGGGATCCAGCAGACTTAATCTCCATATCACCTGTTGGCCCTATACAATAGACTCTTATTTTCTTCCCCAAGACAGACTTTTGCTATAGGGAGCATGTACTCAATGGAGGCACAGAAAGAGAGAGAAAGTGATAAATAACCCCTGGGGTGGGGGGGAATGGCCACCCCACAATCCTTTCTTCTCAATTATTCTCTCAGAGTTTTGGGCATGCATGCATACGCAACTGATTTGAGTTTCAAGCTGCCAGGTCTGGGACTCAAATCACAGTCGACTACATGAGAGTCCAGAAACCTAACCATTATGCTATCTGCTGGTCCCCTATACAAAAGACTTCTCATCAGTTATAAAGAGAACAAGCTACTAATATACTCAACAACTAGGATAAATCTCAAAATCATAATGTTCAAAGACAGAAGTCAGACACTAATGAGTACATACTGTCTAGTTTAATGCCTGTACTCTAAGAAACACAAACTTGATCTATAATCACAGAAAGTATATTCATGGTCTAGGGGATTAGCTACAAAGTGGCAGGAGAAAACTCTTGGGGTATAGGGAAGTCTTCATCTTGACTGAGGTAGTGTTCTCACCAAAAGAACACTTCAGTTTGTGCACTTATAAACTAACCCTAACTGGTATTGGCTGCAGTAGCACAGGTTCTCTTACAAATTGCTTAAGTGTATATAGCTTGCTAGAGTATTTTTGGAAAGCAGATTATCAATAGGGTGTTTTTTGTTGTTTTGGGTTTTTTTTTTTTTAGGATTTTTGCCATAGGGCAAATGTACTTGCAGGACAGAGAGAGAGAGAGAGAGAGAAATCACTCTTCTGAAGGTACAGCCATGTTGCAATCCCTTCTCTTCCATTCTCCCAGGACTCTGGGCATGCACACATACACATGCCCACTGTGATTTTCAAGCCACGCAGTTCAGGACTCAACTGTTGTTGGCCACATGGGAGTTCAGCATCTCAATCACCACATAACCTGTTGATCCTGATCAATGGTTATTTTAATTATTCACTGAGGAATTCTACTTTTAGGAACATATTCTGAGATAATAATCTGAAATAAGAATAATTTTTCTTGGAAATAAATGTTTATAGCCTGTTATTTTATAATCATGAAAGACGGAATAAAAAATAATAAATCCTACATGCCACTCAAAAGGAAATGGCTAAGGAAATTGTGAATGAGTCATAAGAGAGACTACTTTGGAGCTACATAAAATATTTTCCAAAAATTTTCAATAATATGGTAAAATATTTCAAAATATTAAATGAAGAGAAATAAATAAAGATCATGCCAGGGACCAGTAGGTGGCATGGTTGTTAAGGCACTGGATACTCCCACATGGCCGATGGCAGTTGGAGTCCCGGACCTGGTGGCTTGCCTACTTGCTTTCCCTCTCTTTCTCTGTGTGTGTCTCTCTCTGGTCAAATTAAAAAATAAATAAATAGGGGTTGGCAGGTGGCATGGTGGTTAAAGGTGCTGGACTCTCACATGACCAACCATGGCTCGAATCCCAGACCTGGTGGCTTGCTTTTTCACTTTCTCTCTCTCTCTCTCTCACACTGTCCCTCTCTGGTCAAAATTAAAAATAAGATAATAAAAATAAAATAAATGAATTAATAAATAAAATAAAATTAATATTTTTTAAAAGCATGCCTTCTTTAAAATCTTAACTGCATAAACTATAAAATTTAAAAGAAATAAAGAAACAAAAATAGGCCCAGCTGTGGTGGCACACTGAGGGTAGATGTAGCTGCTCTGTAGGCTGAGGTCACATGGGAGACTCTGGGTTCAATTCCAAGTCCAAACTAAAGGCCCATTGCAAGTAGCATGCTCCTGTAATCCCATATTCTCTGGAGAATGAGGCAAGAGGACTGTGACAGGGTAAGCCTCTATATCATAGGAAGAAAAAAATTGTACAATGCTTATTTTCACATGGTGATGCTGCAATTTTTTTCTTATTCTTCCCTACAGTTTCCAAATACTTCCTAATTTATAGTAGTATATATATATATAATAGTATATTTATAATACTATAACAAAAGAATTTTAAATATTCAGATGTACCATTTGTTTTTAAAAACTGATTTTGGAGCCAGCCAGTGGCATGGTGATTGGGACAGCTAGATCCTACATGGCTGAATACATGGTTCTAATCCCAGACCTGGTGGCTTGAGAAATGTACTAGACATGAGTGTGTGCCCAAAATACCAAGGGAAAATGGAAGAGAGGGGACTATAGTTTGGCCATCCCTCTGAAGGGTGCTTTCTCATTTTTGGTGAGCACATGCACTCTACTGCAAACATTAAAAAATAAATAAATAAAAATTGATGTTGAGTCCTGGTTTCATAATTCAAAAGGGTTAATTTATCAAGGTGAAAGTTCTCTCAATAAAGGAATTCAAAGAAATAATGAGGGGGTTTCCATAGGAATTCTCGAGGAACATCACATTACTTTACAGTGCAAAGCAACAACGTTAGGTGGCATGAGCGCACCAGATGCAAAGCTGCAAAGCAGAACACTTGCCTGAAAAGAGCTTTGAGATTTTCTGGTAATTCAGTTCGACCAGCGTATCCTGGGTTCATGGTAATAAATATTCCAACTGATGGCTTGAGCGTGATAGCTTCCCCAAGAAATACAAATCTACCATAAAAAGAATGTTGATGAAATTAAATGTGTTCATCGAATATGAATGTTCATTGACAAATACAAACCACTGCAAAATGCAAATGATCATTAGGAAGCTGTTCATTCAATGTAATTTTCTTTAAAATTCATAAGCATATATATTTTGAATATGTTCTGAAACATGTTTATTAAAAACTTGCTCCCCCAGAGGAATTACAAATATGGGGGAAATACATACACACACACACACACACACACACACACACACACACGCTCATGCACACATACAGTGATATTTTAGCATAGCCATAGTATTTCATAATATAAAAATGAGGACTTCACTTTTTTAACATTTAATGAAAGGTGATGACATTTTGCCTTCAGTGTGAACTGCAATTCCTTGAGTAGGATACTGCCAAGTGGAGAAAGGAACTCCTTGTCCAGTCTTTGTCTCTTCCTATCTCTTGCCCTCCTCCCTTCTTCCTGCCATTTATTCATCAAATATCTTCTGAGTGCTACTGAGAGGTAGAACATGTGCTGGTTATGACAGTTAGCTCTAGAACCAGATTGTAAGGGTTCAGAATCCAACACAATACTTTAGGCATAGTAATTATCCTCTCTCTCTGTTCCAATTCCCTCAACTAATAAAAAAAGGATAATAGTATTAACTACCTTATTGGATTATATGAGGATTTAAGAGATTATGAATATAAATGGCCAAAAGCACAATGCCTAGAACATGGTAAATACTCAACAGATGTTAGCTATGACTTGCTATTATTATCACTTGAAGGCACCGGAGAAGCAGAGAAAGATTTTCAGGAAGATTTGCAAGGGTCTGTTTAGGCTGTTGATGTTCAAGGTGATGGATTGGTAAGGACTTTAGGAAGCAAACAGAGGCCAGCAGAAGGAGATTTTCAAATGGGAGTAAATGAGACAAAATATAAGGCTGATCTCTTGCTGAAATAGTTAAGGAGCTAGGCCTATTTCCCAGATTATGGAGGGAAAAGTTACAGAGAAAGAAATATGATTATTTAGGACTAAAAGCATCTTAGACACTAGATAATTAAAAACAGAGGGATTTTTGTATAGTCAAGGCAAAAAATCTTTTTTTAAAAAGAATTATTTTTTATTTAACTTTATTTACTTTTATCTATTTATTTTATTTTGACCAGAGAGGGACAGAGAGAGAGAGAGGGAAAGTGAGAAAGTAAGCCACCAGGTCAGGGACTCAAATCACAGTTGGCCATGTGGGAGTCCAGTGCCCTTAACCACCACGCTACCTGCCGGCCCCAAGGCAAAAAGTCCTTATTCCCCAGAATGCCAGACTAAGAAAGGCAGACAGGCCTGGAAGAATCACTCACAGAAAGAACTGCGGCTGTTGCCACAGGGTAACTGACTACCCTCCCAGTACACGTACAGACATAGCCGTGGTTTGAAGGTACTGACTTCCAGGAGGTAGACTTAGAAAGATGCTGGAAGGCTTTGTGGATGAAGCAATTGTCTTATCTCTTAAATCTTCGAATGAAAAAGTAACTGAATAAACTCATAAAATCTAAAAAAGCCTAGTAGGCTGCAGATGGGCGGCCTAAAGATGAGAGAGATCGGGACCAGCAGTTAGTGTAATGGCTATGTTGATGGACTCTCATGTAGTCGACTGTGGTTGGAGTCCCAGACCCGGGGGCTTAAACTCATTCCGGGTGCATGTCTGTGCATGCCCAAGATTCCGAGAGGAGAATGGAGGAGAAGGGATTGCGGTGTGGCCATCCCCCCGAGGGGTGATTTCTCGCTTTCTGTCTCCCTGTCTCTCTCTGTCTTTCTGGCGAGCGCACGCACCCTGTAGCAAAAACCTCTCCAAAAAAAAAAAAAAAAAAAAAAAAGAAAGATGAGAGAGGTCAACTCTCAGACATGTGGGCAAAGGATACTATTACAAAGTATAGCCAGGAACTTTTAGAAATCATGGCATGATCAGTGACATCAATCTCTGCAAGGAGGATACTCTCAAATGACATCTGAGTTGCATCAAATAATAAGATTTTGACAAAGAGTATAATAAAATATGACTGGAGATCAAAAACCAAAGAACTGAACTTCTCCAACATGGCATCAGAGTAAGGGCAAGCAGGGTGAGACACATCCTATCACAAGAAACTGGTGTCCCAGGCCGGCATGGTGAAAGAACGGAGAGGTTTTTCTAGAAGGTGGAAACGTTTAGATATATCTGCTAATAACATAAAAACTTTGACAAGTTTACAGCTCCACAGAGCAAGATAATCCTTCTCTGATCGACAGATAAAAATGTTCCTATGGACAGGAGAGCTCTCTGAGAAAAATACCCTAAAAACTGGAGAAGACGGGCCAGATAGATGAGGCTGCACTATATACAACAACAGGACCAGCAAGTGGCATGGTGGTTAGGGCAGCTGGATCTCACATGGCCAACTACACAGTTTCAGAACTGGAATCGGCAGCTTGAAAATCATTCCAGGCATGTGTGCACATGTGTGCACGCCCAAAAGCCCAAGAAGAGAATGGAGAAGAGACTGCAATATGTTCATCCACCCTAGTGGGTGAGAAATCACTTCCCCACCCCATACCGTCTCTCTCGGGCGAGCGCCCTATAACAAACTAAACCAAAAGCAAAAAGAAAACAAAAAAGAAGAAAATATTACAAATAGAACCAGAACTGCGCTATGCATCATAATTTTTATTTCTTAAATTATCAAACCCTAAGTTCTGGTCGTGTTTTGCCTTGTAGAGTGTAGTATCTTGCTGAGAGCTGGTTAGATTTTGGATATATTTTGAAGGTTTTGGGCCCAAGTTCCTAGAAGATATAACCCGCAGGAATGAAACCAACAATATAGCACACGTTGGTGGGAGATCAGGATTTTCATTTTGAATATAGTGTATACCAGAGGACTATGAGGCATCAAGTGGAGTCTTCAGGTGCCCAGCAGGCAGTTGTTCATGGAAGTCTACAGACAGGAGAAAGGAGTGCTGTGTGTCTGGTAGTCACAGAACAGAGATTTTTTTTGAAGACCCTGGGACTGGATGAAATTATGGGGGATAAAATAAAGATAGAGAAACGATAAAGTCTAAAGCCATCTAATATTATTGGATCAGCATAAAAGTCATGATGAATTTTTCTATGCAAAAATGGATCATAGCATTTCTGACAACTCTATAATAGGCCAAGGGAAAAAAAAAACCAACAATGAAAACAGTACCTATCCCTGATGTACCTATTTTGCACCAGGCACTTGTCCTAGTGCTTTAGCTGACACATCATAGTAATCTGTGAGGTAGGCACTTTTCCCCATCTAAAAATGAGAAGAAACCAGCCAAGGATCAGTGTGTTGACTGTGACCACTGTGTCAAATGCTTCCAGAAGGTCAAGAAAGATGAGGACTGAGAATCGACCCAGTGATTTAGCATCATAGAGGTGGTTTGTTTTTTAAACAAATAAATGCAATATACCCTTGCTGCATTCATCACTTAAAAACCACTGATAAAAAAAATGGGAGGATATTTAAAATGATTCTTTGAAATCATCCAATCTTATCTATTTTATGAGACAGGGAGAAGTACCAATACACTCTGAAGGTGAGCTTACCTGCCCTCTTCCATGTTATTCTTCCTACTTGAACAAGAGAAAAAAGCCACATGCCACTCACCTCTTTTTCCTGTTCCTGATAGCATCGTGAATCATTTTCACTTGTACTGCGACCACCGACAGAACTTCCACAGCGATTCGATTGAACTCATCAAAACAGCCCCAAGCTCCTGTCTGCACCAGTCCCTTATAGATATTTCCTATGGACTAAATGATGAAGAGAGGCATTCAGAACTTAACAGAAGGGTGTTTTCAGTTATTGTTTTGATCATTCCAAATAGGAGTAGTGTTGTCAGCACACATCACTCAAGAACTAACTTACTTTGTAGTCCATTTGCTCTGAACAGTTGAAGACATAAACCATCATGCCAAGGGCACGGCCCAGATCTTTGGTGGTTTCTGTTTTCCCTGTACCAGCTGGGCCAGCTGGAGCCCCACTCATGGTCAGATGAAGTGACTGAGTCAAGGTAATATAACATCTTTAACAACAGAAAACCTAAATGTTACAGTCTAATAGGAGATTTCTATAAAACATTAGGGGCAATCAGATATTTCAAAAAAAATTAAGAAGCCAAGGTCTAGAATGTGGTAGGAGCATAAAATATTGATATACTTTTGATTTGTTCATGGCAATAATGAGTCAGAATATTTTACACCAAATTTATTTTTAGGTTGGCTGTTTAAAAACACTAAAGAAGAACATATTGCTTTGTTTGTTTATTGGTCTCATTTCCTAAGAGCTCTGTATTTGAATACAAATAACACTTGATTTGCAATGCTATTAAGTTTTGGTATTTCTAGATAAAGAAAAATTATATTAATATGGCAGACAACATTTCAAATTATTATTTATAAAAGAAAAATAGAAGAGAAATTTTGGGTGATGAGTAAATTAAACGTTGACTGCATTAAACTACTATCTAATGAATACATTAAAAGATGATATGTAAATTTATATAAATACATAGTATGCAAATACTATATACCTATCTTGATGTGTAAAGCAAGTATCCAAACATAATTTATTACATTAAAATGTATTTTAGGAATTCATTTTGAATGTGTTGCTACATGCATTTAGATTACCATAATACTTATTTTGCAGGGAAGATTCAGCGCTTCTGACTGAGGAAAATCATGCAAATGCAGAATTTTATACTTGTAAAAGAGGGAAAGACTAACAGCAGTGACCTCACACAGCTGATGCTGTTTTACGGGGTTTCTTCAGGTTTATAAGCTATTTGTCTTGGTATAGACTATTTGGAAGACATTTCCAAGGAGGTCAGAAGACAAGGAACTAATGTCTACTTTGCTGATCACCAGACATTAATCTTAAGTGGTTCAACATACATGACTCAGTTTTCTCCTCCATTAAGTGAGACTTGCTGTAGGGACATATGAAAAAAAGCCAAAGGTAAATGCCTTAAAAAATTCTAAATACTATATAACTTGAAGAAATCACTAATAAAAATGAAAAGTGTTTCTGTATTTTACAACCATGATATGTTTTAAGTGCATCTCACAATAAAATGGAATGCAAAAAAAAACTCCAGCAATAGGAGTTAGAGCACTTACTACTCCCTTGTTATCCTTTCCACTGGTTCCAAGTATGGGCTGGACACACAGGGCCGTCTCTACCTACAGACTACATTTCTCACCCGCTTCCAGTCAGGAGTGGCCAGGTGACCAAGCTCCAACCAATGTGATATGTACAGAAATGACATGTGCCATTCTTAGGACACCTCCTCAGAGATATTTGACCTGGACTCTCTCTTCTTTTTTTTTTTCCACTGGCTGAAACAGATGTGGAAGCCATGTTTAGCATGTCAGTCACCTGCTAGCCTATACCACTGGCCCACTCACCTCTGGACTGTCACACAAATACGACACCAGTTTCTGGGGTTATGTAAGCCATGGTATTTCAGAGTCTATAACGGAAGCTTAGTCTTCATTGTCCTAACCAATATACCTGTGTTCTAGCACAAGTCTATCAGTTTCAGGCTGATTGACCTATATCTCTTAACCAGTTCAAATAGAGAGAAGAGACACTGTCTGCCCCACCTATCACACACTCAGCATCAAATGAGATATAAGGAAAGTATTTGGAAGGCATCATTACACTAAGGTAAGAATTAGTAAATAATCTAAAGAATAAGATGAAAACAAAATATACAAAGTGTCAACATCTTATCCAATACTATTCACACTATCAAAATGAATACTTGCAAAAACACATGCAAAAGGAGGGGTGGGTTAAGGAAGGGTGCACCACAGTAAAGAATGTCACCTACTAAGAATGTCACTAGTGGGACCAGTCAGTGCAATGGTGGTTAAGATGGCTAGATCCACATGGCTGACTGTGTGGCTCAAGTCCTGAACATGACAGTTTGAAAAACCTGCTAGGCATGTGTACGTGCATGTCCAAAATCTGAATGGAGGGGAAGGGGTTGCAGTGGGGCCACCCCCCCCCCGGGGGGGGGGGGAGTGATTTCTCACTTTTCCTCTCTCTCTCTCTCTGGCAAGCATGTGCCTTATGGCAATTTAAAAAAAAAATGTCGCTTGTTATTCAATATACGCTTTGGAAAAAAAAACTAGTAGACTCTTATTATTGAATGTGTACAACATAACGTACTGTTCAACACAGAAGAATTTATATCTATCATTTGATAATTATACACTATGCATGTTGTGAACTATACTGTATCTCATGCAAAAAAAAGTACAATTTTATGAATAAAGATTTATTTTCCTTTAAATTTTCAAATAAATCACAAAGTGATTTCTTTTAAATTAAGAAGATAATAAACTCCCAGTCCTCACATACTTATAAACCTTAAAATGTCTCTTCCCTTTTTCTTCTACATACTGAGCTCCCCAACCCCTCTTCTGTGATCACAATGTCAGGCGTACAATAGGCTCTTTTTTCTTTTCTTTTCTTTTCTCTTTTTTCTTTTGGAGAGGTTTTTGCTATAGGGCGCGTGCACTCACCAGAGAGACAGAGAGACAGAAAGCAAGAAATCACCCCCTGGGGGGATGGCCACACCACAGTCCCTTTTCCTTCATTCTTCTTTTGGGATCTTGGGCATGCACGCACATACGCCCTAGTGTGAGACTGAGTTTAAGCCACTGGGTCTGGGACTCGAATTGCAGTCGACTACATGGGAGTCCAGAGACATAGCCATTATGCCAATGGCTGGTCCCAACTAGGCTCTTAATAATACTCTGTTTTGACTATTCTCAAGTTATTTTGTCAACCTACTAATTTTAATCCCCCATAGTGAAAGCACCGTTAGAAACAAGTTAAAGAGAACTAAGTTAGACAAACAGAATTAAAGAAGCTGTACAATATATAAAGGACCAATCATGAGCAGATTCATACATGTAAGAACATACTTCTGAGAGAATTCTACCAACATTTCAGGACTTCCATAACAATCCAGCTTTATAGACTTATATTTGAAACTATCTACACTTCAGTGATAAATAACTGAGCATATTGCTATGAGCTTAAGGTGTGATTTCTCTTTCATGGATGCCAAAGATTAAATGTGCTTTCTCCCCCAAGTTAAGTCAGCAGAAACTTGAATACTAACAAAGAAATTGATGTCAATATGATATAGTCTTACCTCTACATAGACTCTGTATGTGTGGGTATATTTTTAATTTATTTATTTCCCTTATAAGAGAAAGACAGAGAGAGAAAGAGAAAAAGACAACACCTTCAACAAGATCTCACATTGAGATCTTCCCCCAAGCCCTTCCAGCTAGCCGGGATCACAGGCACACACATATGTACTTCATGCACAGGTTGGCCCAAGAACTGAACCCTGATCTTCCACATGGTTTCCAGTATTGAAGAGTATTATGCTACCACTGTTCCTAGAGCTGACTAGTTTATATTTACTTGGAATCAAAACTTTCAATAATAGTAACCTCTTATGCCCTTGACATACTCATATGAACTTTCTATCTCTTGAACCGGTCAAGTGCCTTCCCACCTTGAAAACTTTATATTTACTTTTGCCTCTAAGTTTCTGCCCCAGAATCTGATCATAGTTTGTTCCTCATTATTTAGATTTTAGCTCATTCTTTTACTCAATATATAATAGACTCTCCCAAAGACACTTTTATTCCATATAGCCCTGTTTTATTTTTGTCATAGGATGTGGTAAATCCTAAAAATAACTTTGCTAAGTTATTAGCTTTTTAAAAATAATTTTTTATTATTATTATTTTAATTTGCTATAGGGCGTGTGTGCTAACCAGAGAGAGAAGACAGAGAGAGGGAAAGTAAAAAAGCAAACCACCAGGTCTGGGACTCAAATTGCATTGGCCATGTGGGAATTCAGCACCTTAACCATCATGCCACCTGTTGGCCCGAAGTTATCTATTCGTTGACTGTTCCTCTGCATTTCTACCCCCTCACATGCTATACTCCACTAGAAAGTAATCTCTGTGACAGCAGGGACCCTGTCTGTTCAGGAGTATTACTTAGCACAGTGCTTCAAAAGTATTTGCTAAATTATTTTATGTTCTCCCTCTTTCAGTCACTATTGTAATTCTTCAAAAATATATTTGAACATAGACAATTCGTAGTTACATTCACACTTCCAATAACAGGCTATGGGAGGAGGACAGTTAGTGACAGATAACTGGGCAGCATGGACCCAGAGATCAAAGAAGCTGCCTTGAGCCATAGTAATCCCCTCACATGTTCTCCACTTGTGTGTTCTCTGTAGCTATTTCTCTAATTTAGTTCTCTTTATCTCCAGTTACAAGTCAACATTCACTATCTGACATAATTTCCATATTGCTTTTATATAGTTTCCTGATTTGTTCATCATTTGCTCCCATTTACTTTTCATTTTCACACATGTCTCTACCCACGCTAAGGAACTCATTTGGCTTCATTGTTCCCACCTGACTCAAACTTATTGTCACCTGTCAGTCAGAGGAGTGATCACCAATCGAGGACTATTTCCTAAGTATTCATAGAAGTACTGGAACTGGGCATCGCAAATATTGACATAACAGTGCTTCTGGGTGTCTTCCCACTGGTGACGAAGTTGAGATAGCCAAGCGAAAGCCTGGGGACTGACAACCTGAAACCAATGTATAATTACTACACAGAACATTGACAGTTTGGGAGCCACAAAGTTACTCCATTAATCTGACTGTATTGGTTCACATGTTATTTCTAAAATTCCTATTTCCAAATAGGAAAACCCTTGTATGCTATTGAAAATTGTGATTGCATATAGATGGTTAAATATTTAATCAGAAATACGTGTGTGACAAAAATCTTTGTTTCAAACTGGCTTTTATGTAGAACAGTATTAATTTGTTCAAGGAATGCTTTTTTCCCCTTTTATGAATAACTCCAGGGGACTGGAATATTTTTGTAACTTTATACTCATGGCACTGAAATCAGATGGAAAAATATACTCTGTATTAAAATGACACATAATCCACAATCTCTGCATGTGCATAAATACACTACACTTTCAACCAAGTTTATTCTAAAACCGGTATGCTTTTAGTATAGAGATTTTTCCACTTTGTTTTTCATCATATCAAATACCAATTTTTTATTATTATTCTTTGCCATCTTACTCAATCTTATACATTCCTCTTCAATTTTGAAAAGAAAAGAAATATCTTTTTTTTGGGGGGGGAGAGGTTTTTCGCTATAGGGCTCGTGCACTCGCCAGACAGACAGAGACAGAGAGACAGAAAGTGAGAAATCACCCCCCAGAGGGATGGTCACGCCACAATCCCTTCTCCTCCAATCTCTTCTTGGGATCTTGGGCATGCACACACATATGCCTGGAGTGAGTTTTAAGCCACCGGGTCCGGGATGTGAACCGCGGTCGACTACGTGGGAGTCCAGCAACATAACCATTACGCTAACTGCTGGTTCCCAAGAAATATCTTTTTTAAAGTATAAGTGACCATAGGGTTTTTGGGGCATCACTTGAGGTACAAACATTATAGTCCACTAATCTATCCTATCACTACGTAGTTTTCGGCATTGTGCATTCATGGATTTTAGATGGTCATGAACTAGACAAAATGTCTCTTTTATTACAATATAATGACGCATTTCAAAACATAACTCATCCTACTGTAAGTAAATCAGCAGACTGATAAAACAAATTAAAATAAATAAGAAGGTACAAGGTCATAGTCAAGGAGGAGGTATCACTAGTTGATTATCAAAATTAGAATACATAGCTGGAGTTTTAGATTAGCAATGTATGGCCCTAAGGTTGGGTCAAGGAATATAAACTGACATTTATGCTCTACATAAAGAGTTTTTCTTATGCTTTTTAGATAGAATTAAAATTTGCTTTCATTTTAATAAATTGGAAAAGAAGTGAAAATAATAAAAATATTTCATAATCTGTATGTGCCACTGAAATTATGAAAGGAATTTTCATGCTTTAGTATCATCACCCCCAGAAAAGTGGTTTGGAGGAAGTGGATGCTGGGCATGATACATCAATATTTGTCACCAGGTAAGCATATTTCTGTCATTTAGAAGTAACAATGTAGTTGGGGGAAAGAAAGATGATAAAATTCTCCTTTCGCATTAAATACTGCTGACATCTAAATGACATACAGATTTTTTATAAAGATGGGGGGAAGTTATTAATACATTGAAAGGATCAAAAGATAACTTCTTACAAGAAAGGGAATTATTTAGCCATGAAAGGAAAGGACAAGAGATGACCTAAGCAACTAGTTAGAATTATGACCAACGTCTCTCTCTCGGCAGGAAAATGGATCACGGCACATGGAGATGGTTTAAATGATACCCATACAATCTTTTATTGGCTGTGTAAGTCAGAGGTTAGACTCACAAATCAATGGCCCAAAATGATCATGCACAGAGAAGTCAGAAGAACGTGGAGATGAGCACAGAGACTGCTCCTGGATTTGCCATTTGGGTTCATTTTTGAATCATCTAAGGCTCCTAATTTGGCAAAAACCCTTTTGGATAATTCTCATCAGAACATTAGCTAACCCAAATCAAGTGTACCCAAAATAAACACAACTTCTCAGAATTAATTAAAACACACAAACATTAAAAAAAAGACTTTCTCAGAACTACTTAGACAATACATACCACCTTCAGGGAATGACAGACATACAACATTTCTACAAATAACTTGCCTTCTGTGAAATAAGTTTAGCCACCACATCTCTGGCATGGACATCTATAGTACAAATTGCCATGATCTTCTGCCTGTCTCCAGATGGGAGTTCTCCGAGCAAAAGGGTAATCAGTGTATTCAACTGGGAAATCTAGAAGGGATTTATTTTTTAAAAGGAGAGAAGAATTACAAAAATAGAATCTAATTGCCCAATATTCTTCATATTTGTAAAGTAAACTTGTGTTTACAAAACAATTTCAAATGTTATCACAACTGGTCATCCAAGTATTGTGGAGGGAAGGGAGAAGAATATTACTACCTCCTCACACAGCTAAAGAAGCCAAGACTCAGAGAATACACGTGAACCCACAAGTAATGACAAAACCTAAAGTTCCTGGCTGCACCGAGCTGACTTCTCCACCCTGATGATGACCTTGTCCACAGCTTTGCTAGAACGGAAATGACTACAAACCTTCAAAGATCAAATTAAATTAATTTTTTAAAGTATAGTCAGGAATTAAATAAGTTATTTTTTACTTAGAGATTCAACTAAAAATTAGTGTTTGTTTTGGATATAATATAGTAATGACTACTAATTTTTTTTTTAATTTAAAACAGAGTTGAAGAATATCCTTCTTCATTCTGCTTATTCACATCTCTATTGTTGTTAAGGTCTGGAGATCTCTTAGATAACTATTTTCCAAACTTCTGTTCTTTTCTTGTTTTTGTTTTAGTTTTTGTTTTCCATAGAAGGAAAAGGACCTTTATGCAATGACATAAATGGTAAGTCATGGAATTAAATGAAATAGAAATTATTATTTGGTTCATTAAAGGTTCTCAAGTCACCAATAAATGAGTGAAGTTCCAACATATATAATTACCACAATCATTGTTTCACTGTTTCACCACCATATCACTTATTAATAAAACCAAATTATCAACCCACGAAGCAAAAGAACATGTATTCAGGTAGTAAAAGTATATATTGTTTTGTAAAACACTACTTTTGTTCTGAGTGGACACATATACATGTAAGCTTGATCTGATATAAAGTATATCTTATGGTGAATTGTAGTCAAAAGCGTTTGAAAGAAACTGTCTTATGTGGACATTATGTTAGGAGGGGTTTTTTTGAAAAAAATTTCTTGCCTTACTTAAGGCTTATTTCATGTATGTATATAAACACACACACATGCACGCTCGGGCACACACACACACACATATGTTTTATAATTCCAAGTACCACACTATGAAAAAATACTGTCTCCTGTCCTCCTTAGCTCTGCAAAGGACAGTCAATTATATACTGTTAGCACCTGAGAGAGTTGGTAGTAAGTGAATATGAGAGATCAGTAGAGATTCTCAAACCTTTGTAGCCTACTGTCAAAAACAGCTTCCCAGGAACCAGCAGGTGGCATGGTGGTTGAGGCCCTGGACATTCCCACATGGCTGACCACAGTTTGAATCCTGGACCTGGTGGCTTGCTTTCTCACTCTCTCTGGTCAAATTAAAATAAATGAATAAATAAATAAAATAAAATAAAATAATTCTAAAAACTCAAAAACAACAGGTTCCCTACTGTGCTATCAGCATATCCCAGAATATACAAAACCCTACAGATGTCCCTGAAATTGCTGTGTCGGTGGACCCCAAATGCAGTTACATAACTGTTGCAAGAAGGGAGAAGAAAGGGAGACCAGCAGTTAGCGTAATGGCTATGTCGCTGGACTCCCATGTAGTCGACCACGGTTCGAGACCCGGGCCTGGTGGCTTAAAACTCACTCCGGGCGCGTGCACATGCATGCCCAAGATCCCAAGAGGAGAATGGAGGAGAAGGAATTGCAGCATGGCCATCTCCCCAGGGGGTGATTTCTCATTTTCTGTCTCTGTCTGTCCAGCGAGCGCACACACCCTATAGCAAAAACCTCTCCAAAAAAAAAGAAGGGGGAAGAAAGGCAGGAAGACATCTACAACATGCACAATTCACATGAAACAAGGAAGTACAAAGTCCCAGGTACTGGCTAAGCATAATGCCCATATCATCTCATTTAATCTTACAACAATCTATTATCTAAATTTTGTAGGTGAGGAAATTGAGTCACAGAATTATTTACCCACCCAGGGAGGAGACATTTATATCCCAACAGTCTGACTCCAAAGCCTCAGTATTACCCGTTATACCATACGATCTCCCTGTACCAGCCTCTGTAAGATCTATCTACAACCTCCAAATCGGAAAAACTGGTTGTGCAGAAAGCATTTCAATTAAAATCAAACATAAAGGACAGTTTGCTCCAAGAAATAAAAAATATATACTTCAGAAATTCAGGATACACAACAGTTTTGTAAGTATTTAATCTACTTTTTCCTCCCTCTCCAGCTTCACTGAGATATAATTGACAAAAAACGGTGTATATTTAAAATGCAAAATGTGATATTTTGATATATGCATACATTGTAAAATGAATACCACAATCATGCTAACTGACATTTCCATTACCTCATGTACTTTTGTGTGTGTGAAAATACTTGAGATCTACTTTTCTAGAAAATTTCAAGCAGGAACTTCAAAAAGCTAAAGGGAAATGGAGTTTTATTTTGGTGTAATTTTTTTTAAAACCATGTAGAGTTTTTTTTAATAATACTTCTTTTCTTTCATTCTTGAGAGAGATTTTTGCTATAGGGCACACCAGAGAGACAGAGAGACATAGGCCAAACAATCACCCCCCTGCCAGGGGAGATAGCCATGCTGCAATCCCTCCTCTATTCTCTCAGGATTTTGTGTATACACGCACAAACGCCTGGTGTGAGTTTTAAGCTGCTACGTCTGGGACACGAACCATGGTTGACTACATGGGAATCCAGTGATGTAACCATTATGCCATCCACTGGTCCCCATAATACTTATTTTCTATGAACTTTCAGAAGAACCCTTTTTATAATACATTATTAACTAGAGTAGCCATGTTGTGCATTAGGTTCCCAAACTTATTTATATTTATGACTGAAAGTTTAGACCCTTTGTAAAAAACTCTTTTATTATTTATTTATCTATTTACTTTTATCATTATTATTTCTTATTTTTAATCATAATCTTTTTTATATTACATTGAATCACACATATCTTTATAGTGTATTACATCCATGCTTATCAGTCAAGACAAAGACATTACTATGCACATCATCATCAAATAGCTTTTCCTCATTATTTTCCAGACTTATTTTTTCCTCATTTTTTAAAACATTCAATCACTATATATCATTTGGCTGGTATAAAGAATCTACGCAACATGAAATACTTCTCAGACCAGTCCAGTTGAGAAAACTATACATGTTATCATCAACAGGTAAAAAACCATTTCTGTGTCCAGCTAATGTCATGCCTCACTATTCTTCCTTTCTCCCACCCTGTTCCACAGTCCTCAGCATCCTTAACAATTTTCACTGCTTTTAGGCCCTCCAATAGTTTGATCTCTAGCATACAGTGTGGATAGTCGGTATATATTAAGTGGATACATACAATATCTTTCTTTCATATCCTGGCTTGCTTCACTTAGTAATAGATCCTCCATATTTGACCACTTTCTTCATATAGTTAAATTTTAACAAAAGCAGATATGATCATCTCATGTATGCTCAGTTTAATATTCATTATCTCCTAGGTTTTATTGCGTGCTTTATCCTCATAGTCACTGAAGACCTATCAAACAGTAGGTGCTCAAAGAGGGTTTGTTATTCAGATGAACAAATGTTTAATAAAAATCCATGCACATATAATTTTCTAAACAAAATTTACAAATTTGTTCATTATAAAAAGGGTGTTTTGACACTAGATATTTCTCATCTGGATTAAGACACCTAATCTTTACAGTCTCATATTTTATACCATTACCAGTATTTGGTTTAAAAAAAAAAGAGTTGATTATAATAACAGTACTAATATCTTATGCCTTGAACAACATTTATAATTTCAAGTGCTTCCATGTACATTGTTTTCTTTGAGCTTCTCAACAATCTGTGATTTCTACATTATCAATTCATTTTTTACAGAAGTTCAGTCAAATGAAAAAATGATGAAAAATACAGCTTGTTGAGAGAAAGAAGGAGCAATAGGGAGAACCTGCAATCTTAAAGACAGAAGAACTAACAGGCAGGCCCAAGCTGACCCTCTCAGCTTAAGGTTATCAGCAAGGACCTCCATCTAGCCTGCTGGAGGGAAGAGGAGCCCTCTAGCCTTCAAAAACTAATAGCTGGTTCCTGAAATCCTGGAGAAAGAAGGAGCTACAGGGAGACCCTGCAGTTCCAGAGATAGAAGGTAGGAGCTGCTAGCCCATGTATGCTGGTGCCATTCTGCCTTTCATTCATTCAGGACCAATAGGCTGGCCCAACCCAAGCCACTTGCCTTGACCTCATCAACAAGTATTCCCCACCTCCTCCCTCCCCCCCTAAGCCTGCTATTGGAGAGAAGGGGCCCTCTAGCCTGGATACAAAACTGTGCAAATTGGTCTACTGCCTTACTTTCTGCCAGTGGAAACTCCATCCACATTTGGAGCAGTTACGTTTGGGTATACAAGAACCAAACACCTGGAAAATAGGAGACTCTAGAGGAATTCTTTTTTTATAACTCCCCTGGCAGTAAAAGGAGAGAATTCCCCTCTAATGCCTAAACCCTAAGCTCCTATTGTGGATTCATACTCCCACTTGGAGTAAAGGAGAGAAATTGGGACAGATCTTAAACATATCACAGAGATGTGCAAGAGCACACAGCTACAGAAACATACATCAAAGAAGTAGGAAGAAGTGGGTATGCTGTCAGATGACTAAAAACCACAGTGGAACCTGAATAAATAGAAGAAAATCAGGAAATAGCTCCCCCTCAAAGGATCATCACTCCTTCTTAACTATGGATGAAATATAAGAGATGACAGAAATGCCTAAAAAAGAATTCAGTATATTCATCATAACCATTCTCAAAAATATGCAAGAGAAAACAGAGTACCAATTGTGGGAGATGAGAAAATCCTTCCATGACATGATGAAGGAACCCCATAAGGAGATAGAAACACTGAAAAAAAATCAAACAGAACTTCTAGAGATAAGGAACACATTTCAGGAAATCAAAACCTCCTCTGAAAGTATCAGCAGCAGATC